CCCCAGCCAGTTCCCCCCTCCCTTGCCGGATGGAGCATTGCCCCCCTCCTCCCAGGCGGGCCAGGAGCCCCCTCCCCATCCTCCCCCCCCGTCCCGTCCCGTCCCGTCCCTCCCCTACCTTGCCGGGTGGAGACGTTGCGCTCGTTGGCGGCGCGCAGGACCACCTGCGGGCAGCTCTGCTCGAGGAGGAAGAGCTCGTCCTTGCCCACCTTGGCGGCCTTGCCGGCCTTGAGCGTGCCGCTGGGCCCCGACGGCGCCAGGTAGCGGCCCTGGCAGTCTCGGAAGGCCACTTTGCCGGCGCGGAACTCCAGCGTGAACTCGGCGGCCGGCTCGGCGCGGCCTACCAGCTGCCCGTCGTGGCGGAGGAGGCGGTGGTCGCGGGCCTGCAGGCGGTAGCGGCCCTCGTGGAAGAGCAGCGTGACCAGCGCGTCCACGCCCCAGGGCACGTCGCGGCCCACGGCCAGCTCCTCCTCGCCCGCCGCGCCGGGGCCCAGGCGGGCGTAGCGCTTGCGGCTGAGGCTGAAGAGGTGGAGCTGCGGGTGGAGGGCCAGGTGGACGCGCCACTTCTCGGCGGCCGAGACGGCCTGGGCGAAGCAGGAGAGGCGGTCCTCGGTGCCGCCGAAGAAGCGCCGGTGCGGCTCGGACTGGAGCGACCAGCGGCCGTCGTCGTGGGCCACGATCAGGAAGCGGCAGTCGGCCGAGGGCGCCTCGCGCTCGCAGCTCACCTGCCCGTCCTTGTCGGCCGCCAGGTAGCGGCCCAGGTGGCTGCGCAGGAAGACCCGGCCGGAGTCGTCGCCCCCGCCGCCCTCCTGCTCCAGCGTCCAGATCTGCTTCTTCTTCAGGCTGGGCGCCGAGGCGTTGAGCTTGAAGCCGAAGGCCTCGGCCGTCAGGTACTTGTTGCCGCAGTTGATCAGCCCGAACTGGATGGGCAGCGACTCCGAGGGCGCCGACGGCGACGAGGCGGTCCCGTTGGCCGTCATGGCGGGGATGGAGGGAGGGATGGATGGACGGCTGGGCTGGCTGGGCTGCTTCTCTCCTTCCTTCTTTCCCTCCTTCCTTCTCTTCTTTCTTCTTTTTCTTCCTTCCTTCTTTCCCTCCTTCCTTCTCTTCTTCCTTTCTTCCTTCCTTCCTTTCTTCTCTCCCTTCTTTCTTTTCTTCCTGCCTGCCTGCCTCCCTCCCTTTGCTTCTCGCCTTCCTTCCCCGACGGCTCCTTTGTTCGGCTGCTGCGGAGGATGGGGCCGCGCGGACGGACGGACGGGCGGGCTGGCTGGCGGGCTGGCTGGGCTCCCGGCGCTCCGCAAAGCCGGGCTGCAGCTGGGCGAGAGGCGCGGGGGCTGTCAGGACCCGGCTATAAGGCGGGGAGGGGGCGCGGCCGCCCCGACGCCGCCAATTGAGGCTCGGCGCGCCCGAGGAGGCGGAGCTCTGCAACCCGGGGGAGGGGGCGCGCTGCAGCCGCCTCCACCCCCCCCCCGGCTGTCAAGCCAACGACGGCAGGGGGAGGGGCAGGGGGAGGGGGGGAGAAAAGGAGGAGCCGGGCTGGGGGCTTCGCAGGGGCGGGGCTGGCTGGCTGGGACGCCCTTGCTGAAGGCAGCGGGGTCTCCACTGCGGGTATTGGGGAGGGGGCAGGGACTACAGCAGCCAGCGTCCCCAGCCGCTGGGCAATCTGGGGGCCGGGATTTTGGGGCGCGGCTTCCCTAGCTGCCCGCTAGTGGCGGGGGGGGGGGGTTTTGCTGGATTGCTGGAGGTCCCCAGCCCTGTTTCCGGGGGACCCTTCCCAAATCAGGGGTCCCTCGTCCTGCCCCGCCCCCTGATTTGGGGAAACTCCCTGGCTGTTGCAGACGTTGCCCTGCTGATGTTGAAACCTCCCCCCACCCCGTCCCCCAGTTCTGGGATTCGCACCCCGGGCCAGCCCCAGCGGGGTCTCTGTTTGCACCTCCTCAATCCCCCCCCCGCCCACCTCCTTTCCAGGCTGCCTTGCTTGGTCTGCAAAAGAGGTCAGGAGGGCGGGATCTGGTTGGCCCCTTGGACAGAACACCACCCAGAGATCTGGGGGGGGGAGGGTGGATGGATGCTTAAAAAAAGAAAAAAGAAATAGACCCAGTCCCCTCCTGTCCTTGATTCTGCAGTCACCCCAATTCACCAAGGAAATTGTCCCTGGCTTAAAGGCTCCAGGTCCTGCACATCTGGATTTGAGCAAAAGTCCATCTTCGAGGCCAGATCGGAAGCTCTCGTTAAAGCAGAATTTTTAATTCTTATTAAACTGGGTTCACCAGTCATGCTAGCTAACTCAATCCTGGGCAGGTTCATGCATCGTTGTTAAGCCAGCAATCCAAGCTTCCCAAGCAAACCCAGTTGGAAGCAGTAAAGTTGGGTGCCAACTTATTTTGGGTCTTAGATGCTCCGGGTTTAACGGCTCTGCTTTCTGGGGATAGCAGTGTAGACGGAGAATGGTTTTGTCTGCTAAAAGCTAGAGAAGCAAACTGCTTTTCTTCTTCATTAGTTGTGTGACAATCATTAGCATTAATGATGGCTACCTTCACTTCATTATTCTAGGGCCAGTGTTTTTGGAACTTGGCCGCTTTAAGATGGGTGGACTTTCACGCTGGCGGGGGAATTCTGGGAGCTGAAGTCCACCCGTCATAAAGCTGGAACAACATACACTTGGCTAGTTTCTGGTTTAGCGCACTGTAACTCTTCCGGTCAATTTGATCCGTTCAACGGTGGTTCCAGAAACCATGGCTTAAGTGGGTGGTTTGAATACATCCACGCCTAATCCTGTTCTCCTTCCTCATCCAGCCGAATTCCACCATGGTTTCTCTTCCCGAGATCCATTGCATTCCTGGCAAGCTGTCTAATTTAACTAGTTTTATTGCTCCAAGCTTTGAACAACTTGCTTGTTGGCAGGGGTGGGGGAGGAATTAGGAAAGGATGCCCTGCCAATGAACTGTTGGTAAGTCAAGGAGTGCTTGTCTCTTTTATCTTCCTGTGACAAACAAATCGAATTTGTTCCCTGGGGGTTTTTTTTGTGGGGGGTGCGAGACAGGGAATCCCACCCTGCAGGGGTGATGTGCATCCTCTCCACCCCCTCCTCTGAGATGAGTTGGGTCATATTTATTCTTTTGGACCTCATTCTGTGCCACCTCTCCTGTTCATCCCTCCTTATTCTCTCTCTCCTCCATCCCTGTTTAACCATCCATCCATCCATCCATCCATCCATCCATCCTTTCATCCTGGACTGAGCTGCCAGTGTTTGGCGCCCTTATCTCTGGTCCCAGCTGCAATAAGGCTTTGTAGTGGTGGAAAAATGGTTTGTTTGTCCGTTTGCAGACCTGCCTCCCTCCTCCCCTTGTTCTCTTGCCTACCGCCATCGTTTCCCTCCCTCTGGTCCCTGCCCTGCCGGCCCCTTTGTTTTCCCAAATCACGGGGGGTGGGTGGGTGTCCCCTTCCTTTCCTGTGGCCGAGCTATGCATGCAGAGGGGATCCTAACCAGTTGCAGAAAACCTTCCTGGGAAAGTGAGACACACACACACACATCCAGGTTTCTCCCTCACCCCTCCGTGCGAAACTGGGTGAGTTCAGGGTTTGCAAAATGCTGGTCTGATGCAAGACAAGCAAATGGAAGGTTCCAGAGAGAAGGAAAACGGAGCAGAGAATTCTGCAGCAGGGGAGGGGGGGAGCCTGCTTTCTCTCTCGCCCCCCCCTTCTACCTCTTTCTTCTTTGGGAATCCTTCAAAATCCAGAAAAGCAGCATTTCCCCTTCTGCCCTCTGACAAGAGCTCCCGGTGAAAAGCTCTGGGTACTCTAGGCGTGCTCAGAGGCACTCCTGCTGCTCAAGTCATTTTGCTGAGACCCCAACTTTGCAGGTGGGAGGCTCTGGGAAGGCTGGGTATGCTCAGAGGCAGTCCTGCTGCCCGTCTCGTTTTTCTGGTGAGCAGGGGGCTGGACTAGACCTTCTATTCTATTCTATTCTATTCTATTCTATTCTATTCTATTCTATTCATTATTTTATCTGTTCTGTTCTGTTCTGTTCTGTTCTATTATCTTATTCTATTCTATTCTATTCTATTCTATTCTATTCTATTCTATTCTATTCTATTCCATCTTCTCTTCTCTTCCATTCCATTCCATTCCATTCTATTCTATTCATTATTTTATCTGTTCTGTTCTATTATCTTATTCTATTATGTTCTGTTCTATTCTAGTCTAGTCTAGTCTAGTCTATTCCATCTTCTCTTCTCTTCTCTTCTCTTCTCTTCTCTTCTCTTCTCTTCTATTCTATTCTATTCTATTCTATTCTATTCTATTCTATTCTATTCCATTCATCTTTGGGCAAAGGACTTCCTGGGGAGCCTGTGCTGACTTTTGGGGGTTCTGGATGCTTAGCTGGAAATTTGGTAAGCAAGAGTCTCAGGACAGGCTGTTTGCAAGCAAGAGCTTTGCAGGTGCGCGGGGGCGCCTCTGGGAACTCTGCGTATGCTCAGAGGCACTCTTGCTGTCCAAGTCCTTTTGCTGAGCCCTCAGCTTTGAGCAGAGGCCTTCCTGGGGGACATTTTTTCCCCCCGTTTGAAGTGAAGCACACCGTTCAGATGGCAATTCTGGGCCGATTTACCTGAAGCAGCATCCTTTATCCGTGCTGGAAACGTAGTTCCTTGGCTCTAATCCCTGCAGGCCTTTTCTAAAATGAAAAACCAGCAAAATGAAACTCAACTCCAGGCTCAATCCAGCGTGAGCTGCCTAACAAAAAAAAGTGTGTTTTTTTTCTGACTCGATATCCCAACAGGAATTTTAAGCAATTAAAGGATGCTTAGAATTTTGCCGGAAAAAAAGTTCACGCTTACAAGATCACGTGATCCAAATTCAAGGGTTGAACAAGCGGCATGGCTGCAGCATCCTGGGCCCATTTCTCTCCCCCCGCCCAGAATGCCATTGTAACTTTGAACAGTCAGTCCCTTAAAACGAATAATTTAACTCAAGGACTCTCTGCAGATCAAAATTTAGGAAGAAAGAAACTTCAAATGATTTTGCCATCTTTCCCTCCCACCCCCCCAGAGACGAAACATTTGGTTTTCGTAGTTTTATCCAAAAAGGGTCAGTGTGGCTGAGACCACAACCTAATAATATTTGTTGCACGGTGTGGGTGTGATTTGCAGCAAGTTTTCAGCAACGGCTCAGAGTCTTGGAATGGCCCTCGAAAATATTGCTCTTGCAGAGATGGTAGTTTCCCAACAGCCAGAAAAAAGGGAAAAAGGAAAAAAAAAAAGGCAAGGACAATGAGAGCACAAGAGATTAGTGTCTCTTTCTCTCCTCCCTCCGTCTCCCCCCCCCCCNNNACGGTGTGGGTGTGATTTGCAGCAAGTTTTCAGCAACGGCTCAGAGTCTTGGAATGGCCCTCGAAAATATTGCTCTTGCAGAGATGGTAGTTTCCCAACAGCCAGAAAAAAGGGAAAAAGGAAAAAAAAAAAGGCAAGGACAATGAGAGCACAAGAGATTAGTGTCTCTTTCTCTCCTCCCTCCGTCTCCCCCCCCCCCACCCTGGGCGGTCAGATGCGGCTCAATCCAGTTGCCAGTGGGAGAAAGTGGGGGAGGGGACCCTCCCGAGGTGGGGAGACGGGAGGAGAAGGGAATGAAAGCCGAAACTGGCTTGGGGGGGGACACCCCTCTTTCTTTAATAACTGGCTGGTTTGGCTGCATTGGAAACTCAAGCTGGCCTGGGTGGGAGGGGTGGTCCATACCAAATGTCGCAAGCAGAGGTGGCCTCATCTGGCTGTTTGAAATGCCAGAAACCCACAACCACTTGGGGGTCTGGGCTGTTTGCCTACAAGGCCAGCCAGCAAGATTGCCCCGAGTTACACAGAGTTAGTTGCGCAAATATTTGCCCGGTGATTCACCACCATCAGATCTGCAAAGGGTTACAGACCAGCTCCTGATCAAACCAAAGTAGGATTATTGAACGGCTTAGTCCTCGGTCAGCCTCCCCCGT